TATAATCATTATTAAGGTTTGTTTATTTATATTTATGATAAAAGAAGTAAAAAATAAAACAATTAAAAAATTTGTTTAGAACTGAATAAAATTTTATGAGACATTTTATTGGCAATAATGAAAATATATATAGAATTAAAAAATTTTTCGCATTATTTATTTCATTACATTAATTTAGAAAATTAATAATTTATTAGAAATATGAGATTCTAAAAAAATAAAAATTTATAAATAATTGAACACTTATTCCGAAAAATGATTGGAATAAATAAGTTACAGAAATTATTTTAATTTTTAATATTTTATTGATTTACTAATTTATATGAAAATAAGAAAAAAGGCGAATGTCACAAGGTCACTACCTAAAATTACATTTTAAAATTAGCCTCGTTTCATAACTTAAAAGAATGATGAAGAAGAGCTTGATTTCAGTTTTGAATTATATCCAGAGAATCCGATAAGTGCTAAACAAGAGTTTTATCGATTCCATAAAACAATAGAACGAATTTAAGAATAAAACAAATTTTATAATAGAAATGATAACTTGATGAGTAGTTTGTCATCTCCTCAAATACCTCCAGGAAGTTTTGGATTGTTTAGTCGATAAAAGAATGATGTATTGAATTTAAAGTATTATTGATTTTTTAATAGCCATATGAAGTATGGAGATAAGTATATGGTGATTTTAGCAAAAGGATTATAAAAGCAAAATGACATAAAAGAATTTCATTTAAATGATAATCGAATGACTTAGATGAGTTCATCAGAAATAATAAAAAGTACTAGAGGAGCTTTTAAGTTGAGTTTATAAAAAAATAAGATTGGTAGTGGATGTTTGGAAATAGGGAATTCTTTGGTAAATCGAGATTGCAAAATATAATCATTAAATTTGGAAGATAATAAATTGAAAGAAAGTTTAATAGTAGACATTTTAGATAGGATTGCTGATAATAGATCATTAAAAATAGTGAATTTAAGCAAAAATAATATTTCAAATAATTGTTGTACAGCACTTTGTAATATGATTTAACATAATGAAGATATATAAGAATTATATTTGCATTTTAATAGATTGAATGGAAATGGAGCAACAATGATTTTTAATAGCTTGTAAAAATCTAATTTAAAAGTATTAGATTTATCCTAAAATTCATTAGGAATAGGTTTAGATTGGTCAAACAGTTTTAATCAAATGGTGAGCATGAATAAGGAATTAATTCATTTTGATTTGTCATTCAATAGAATATCATATTAGATTACATGTAACATAGCAGAAGGATTGAAAAAAAATAAAACAATAATAGGATTTCATTATACAGGTAATTCTGGATATGTAGATACAAAAGGATTTTTGATTCCTATAGAAAAAGAAGAGATAGAATAAACTTAACATTAAATAGCTTAAAGGATATAAGGATGTTAATATATCAAATAGAAAAGATTAAGATCTTATAGAGATAATAATATAAAGGATTGTTGTTGGATATGTGAAGGATGGAGATAAGTAGAATTTTAATGGAATCCAATAAATTCTGGACCTGCAAATGATCCTATGTTTTTGCATTTATCTTATTTGAATTATGATGACCTATATATGGGAAAGGTTGATTAAGGTTTGAAAGTATAAAGAATGGTGCCTCCAGGTTTATGTTATTATTTTTTTACAAATGATGATATTTAATGTGTGGCTTAGGATTAACTTCATAAGAGATGGCCATTACCTTTGAATAATGTTCGTTTATTAGATAAAAAAGTAAATGTAAGGCTTAATCAATTAAATTACATTAATATTTAAGGAACATAAATAATTGATAAATATTATATGCCAATTATAAATGTTTAACCAAGATAGGAGGATCTGATTTATATACCTGAAGTAGTCGATAACAAAATTATTTGGACGTTTCCAATATCTTTGTTTAAGGATTGGAAAAAAGATACTGAAGAAATGTTGGATAAATGTTTCTCTAATGATTGGAATTTAAGTAGAATAACAAAATTGATAAAGGATGAAAATGATAGAAATGCTTGTTATGAATTTTTGAGATAAAACTATCAATAAATAAAGGATACTTATAAGTAATAGATAATTTGAATATAGACATTTTGCATGTTTGTCACCAATAGGAGATGTATGGGCTATTTCATCATTGATAAATTTACAATTGTTAAGTTAAATAAAGTTAACAGAAATGAATGAAAGAGGGACTATAAAATAATAGGATATGGAATTGAAATATTTAGCTACTATATCTGGGACAGAAAAAGGGAATTACAGAAAACCAGAAAGAGGAATGGTTAGATTCTAATTTCTTGAGATGTGGATAAGAATAGCTGAAGATAAATATATAAGAAATGGGAATGCTAAATCATTTGAAGAAGCAATTAAATGGTTGTGGGAAGATCATCTCAAAGAAGAATTTAATAAATATAATAGTTAAATCTTTAGAGATACTCGATATTGGAATGAGTAATGCGATTTGTGTATGAAATATTACAAAACTATATTGGATAGTCTTTATCTCCGATATAGTGTTAAAAAAGTCAAACCAGGATAAAAACCTTTTATGAGTTTATAAGAATTGTAAGATATGTGTTCTCATATTGGATTAAATTAATTAGATACATATGGACCTAATACATCATTGTTTGCTTTCAATAAAGCAATGATGACTTAAGTTGATGAAGTGAATTAAGATAGAATATTTTAAATGAGTTTTGTTGAGTTCTTAGAAGCATTTTCTAGAATTGCTGAAGATATTGATATTAGACCGATTGGATTACATCTTAAAATTGAATAGCTTATTTGGAAATGTTACAATCTTTTTCCAGATATATATGCCTAACCAAATTAAAGCTATTTTTAAAATGAATGGGATTAAATAAATAAGTAACAACAAAGTGATGAAGACATTATTGATAATTCTTATTGATAAAATTATATAAATATCTAATAAATTGTAATTGAAGATATCTCGAAATTCATTAGAAATAAATTTAATTATTAGAAAACTTATGTAGAATCTAAAGCCAATCACTCCTAGACAAGAAATTAAGCCAGTCAAAATCAATATTACTACGTATTACGCATTACAATAAACTCTCTAGTGAGTAATTCCAAGCTTTAACTAAAATGTATAACTTTGGTAAATTGTAAACAAAAAATGCTGAGCGTGAACTTATTTAATAACATTTGTAAAATTAGCATTAAATATCAATCAATAATACTCCAAGGAACAATATACCATAATCTTGTAAAAGTTCAACAGATGTATAAATGACTTATTTATAAGATGAAATATTTCCTGTATTAAAAAAATAATGGAAAAGAACAGGTCAAAATCTAAAACAATTCATAAGTTTTAACAAAACCAAAAAACAGTTTACATCGTAATTTCTCTTAATTAGAAAAATCTGGTACTCCCATTCTTTCTTCAAAAATTCAACCCATCTAAACTTCTTAACATAAATAAAAAAAATATAATCCATTATCAATTGATTAAAAATTTTCATCAAATTAATAATTTGTTTAATAATTAACACCTTAAATTAATAAAAAAGATGTTCCACAAAAAAAAGACAATTTAAAAGTAAGTTTAGATGATTTTGTTACTTAAATTAATAAACCTACCAAAGCTTTGATATCCCCTATTAAATAAACTAAATCATTATCACCATCAGGTAGAATTCAATCTTCCAAATAGAGAAGTATTTTATAATAAAATTAGAATAAATATATTATGTGACATCTCTAATTGAAACATTCAAGCACTAATATCCTTAAACACTAGAATAACAATTATTCAAAGACCATGCTATCTAAACTTATAATTGTATTGGGTTTTGTTTAAATTTAAAAGATCCAGATCCTTAAGTTTTAAGATCAAAAGCAATAGATATACCTCTTAAATAAAATTGTAAATGTAAGATGTTTATAACATTTAAATAGTTTAAAAGACTGTTGTATTTGATTTAGATGAAACCTTAATTCATTGCAATGAAAACTAATCTCTTAAAGCTGATGTATATCTACATATAAAATTCCCAACTGGAGATATTGTTTAAGCAGGGATAAATATACGCCCTTATGCTAAATGGATACTTATCGAACTTAGCAAAGTATGTGAAGTGATTATATTTACTGCATCTCATTAATGTTATGCTAGTCAAGTAATTTAGCATTTAGACCCTAATAATGAATTACTTTCAGCTTAAGTATTTAGGGATGGATGTGTATTATCATCTGAAGGAGTTCATATAAAGGATTTAAGAATTTTCAGACGAGATTTAAAAGATATAGTTTTAGTAGACAATGCTGCTTATTCTTTTGGTTCACATTTAGAAAATGGCATTCCAATTATTCCTTATTATGATAATTAAGAAGACAAAGAATTAAAATTATTATATGATTTTTTGATTGAATAAGTACTCCCAGCTCCAGATTCCAGATTAGTTCTTTAATCAACATTTAAATTAAGAGAATTTTCTAAATTTAGAGAACCAAAAACAGCCATAGAAAAACTATATTGATTAAAAATTTCATTAATTCATTTATACTTAATGGTTTATAAAAGATTATTCAATTTTTAAGCTCATTTGAAATTATATATCTATAAAATAATATAGATTATTAAAAAACATAGATTTTAATTGATATAGTGAATTATAAATTTTTAAGTTTAAAATAAAAAAATTATTATTATTAGATATTTGGAAAACAATATCCTTAATGAAAAATATTTTTTTTTACTTTTTATTTAATAAATTCAATATATTTTATATAAATAATAATGTTTTATAGTAAAATTATTATTAAAAATTTATAGTTTTATTGTTTAATTGTCTAAATTCTGAAAATTCACAATTATTTATTTTTTTTTAATGCAATCCCAAATTAACAAAACTTCGATCCTAGCCTAAGTTAAGAAATGCCACAAGAACATTTCTAAACTTAATGATAAATTAGATATTCTTGAGACCCTTATGAAAAAATAAAATTAGAATATTGAAAAAAATACAGATGTTATCAAATCTAGAGCAATCAAGAATCCTGTAGTCATAATTAACGATGANTCATTGCAATGAAAACTAATCTCTTAAAGCTGATGTATATCTACATATAAAATTCCCAACTGGAGATATTGTTTAAGCAGGGATAAATATACGCCCTTATGCTAAATGGATACTTATCGAACTTAGCAAAGTATGTGAAGTGATTATATTTACTGCATCTCATTAATGTTATGCTAGTCAAGTAATTTAGCATTTAGACCCTAATAATGAATTACTTTCAGCTTAAGTATTTAGGGATGGATGTGTATTATCATCTGAAGGAGTTCATATAAAGGATTTAAGAATTTTCAGACGAGATTTAAAAGATATAGTTTTAGTAGACAATGCTGCTTATTCTTTTGGTTCACATTTAGAAAATGGCATTCCAATTATTCCTTATTATGATAATTAAGAAGACAAAGAATTAAAATTATTATATGATTTTTTGATTGAATAAGTACTCCCAGCTCCAGATTCCAGATTAGTTCTTTAATCAACATTTAAATTAAGAGAATTTTCTAAATTTAGAGAACCAAAAACAGCCATAGAAAAACTATATTGATTAAAAATTTCATTAATTCATTTATACTTAATGGTTTATAAAAGATTATTCAATTTTTAAGCTCATTTGAAATTATATATCTATAAAATAATATAGATTATTAAAAAACATAGATTTTAATTGATATAGTGAATTATAAATTTTTAAGTTTAAAATAAAAAAATTATTATTATTAGATATTTGGAAAACAATATCCTTAATGAAAAATATTTTTTTTTACTTTTTATTTAATAAATTCAATATATTTTATATAAATAATAATGTTTTATAGTAAAATTATTATTAAAAATTTATAGTTTTATTGTTTAATTGTCTAAATTCTGAAAATTCACAATTATTTATTTTTTTTTAATGCAATCCCAAATTAACAAAACTTCGATCCTAGCCTAAGTTAAGAAATGCCACAAGAACATTTCTAAACTTAATGATAAATTAGATATTCTTGAGACCCTTATGAAAAAATAAAATTAGAATATTGAAAAAAATACAGATGTTATCAAATCTAGAGCAATCAAGAATCCTGTAGTCATAATTAACGATGAAACTAGTGTTGAAGTCGTTATCAATGAAGACGATCCTTAATAACAACAAGTAGCTGATTTAAAATAGACTGCTCGCAAATTAATATCACGATTTTATTTTCATATCAAATAAAAAATGAAGCGGGGTTCTATAAATTAAATTTAAGCATTAAAGTAATTTTGTGGTAAATAGTACATCAATGACCTGTATTAGAAGCTTCACTAAGGATTATTGAAATTGTATTTTGAAAATGATTAAAAATGTAAAGAATGCCATCAAACAATTTTGGATTAGTAAATATGCCTTAATCATATCAGAAATGAGCATTTGACTGATCTTAAAATATATATCTGTATTAAATGTAAGTTGTCTTTCTCTAAAGGAGATTAATTAGATAAGCATATTTAAAAAGAACATAATTAATAATAAGTTGTATTATAAAATCAGAGAGAACTTCAAGTTGATGACAATTAATAATAAAAAATACAATAAAGTTATGGAAATTATGTACAACATAAGTTTAATTAAAAGTTGGATTTGAATAAGATTGTTTAAAATATCTAGCCATAACCTATTCTTAAGAAAGTATTAGTACCTTATTAAATTAATAATAACAGTTAAAGATCTTCACCTGATGAAGCTAAATAATGCTTGCCTGTATTTAATTAGGTTTATATACCAGTGGAATTATATGCAGGAAATTCAGAAGAGAACCAAGAAGAAAAACAAAATATTAGTTTCAATACTAACAAAAAGCCATCCAAACTTAAAATTAAATTCATATAAGTATAAAAAAATGAGAAAACATAAACAAATTGAAATAATTATTTATTCCAAAATGATTAAAAGGAGTTTTTAACGAAGTCTCATGAAATTGTTATCATAACAATTATAAGTCTCTCTACACAAACTTATTCGGCAGTTTCAACCCATTATTATCTTTATAGAAGCCAAATAAATTCTAAAAAGATTTCTTCAATCTTCAATTTCACATAATCTAAATTATGTATAATATTTAATAAATACATTAATAAGTGGATTTTTTTTCCCTATAGCAGCAAATAGAGTTGTCGAGATTATTAATTTAAGATATTATAACTATTTTTTTTAATTATGAATAGAATAAATAAAATATTTAAAATATATCTAGATTTCAATAATGGGTTTCAAAAATATTCTAGGATTAAATGTGTCAAAAAGATATATTTAATAAATTTGGTTGATTTCTTTTTAATTATTTTTAAGAGTACATATATGATATATAAAATTTTAAACTGTAATTTTCATAATAAAGAATCAGAGAAATTAAGTTTATACAAATAGTTTATTTTATTAAATAACATATTAAGAAATATCTGTTATGAACAAGGAAGATATCATTGCCTTTTATGAGAAAAGAGAGATGAAAGGGAACTATAATTATGATATTTTAGGAGATGATAGAGTTTCTTTATTTTCTTAAAAAAGAGAATCAAAACATAATAATTAAAAGACTTTGATTTTAAGTAGTTAACCATCAATATATTGCTTTTTGAGTATCTGTAGTTTTTTGATTGCTCTATAAAATTTGCCAGAAGAAGATCGAATTTATTTTTTTTATGATAATCTATTATCATATAATATTGGTCTGATTGTAAGTTATTAAATTAAGTAAGAGGTTTGTATGTGTGGTCTTTGTATACTCGGCATAGTGATAGCAGAAATTATTAAGAGATCATTTACAAACAAGTAAATAGGAACATTGCCGTTTTTGACAAAGAAGCAACATAAAATGAATTTTAATCCAACAATATGTTTTGCAGGATAACTTGCTCATTTACTTTTACTAATAGAAATTATCTTATAGACAATGCCTACTTAATTATTTTAGCATGAAACATTGATGGATTTATCATTTTTATTAAATGTGGTTTATTTTATATATGCAAATAGCTTTCTAGAGAAGAAGAAAGCAGCTCAAATGCATTATATTCCATTTGTTTTATATATATTTGTTACATTGGCATGTAATAATATTTTTAATTTAGAGTGCTATGTTAAAATAATTCCATGAAATTACAATATACTCGTATATGGAAGGTGAAGACAGAGAGAGTTATTTTAACTTATATGGGAATAATGTTACAAGGAATATAATTTTAATTTTTTAGACCAGCTATTAAAGAAATGGAGAGAAATCAAAATATCTTGGCAGAAGTTCTTTGATTGCTTTATTAAATATAAAATCAACTTTGGAAAGGTTGAATGTCTTATTATTATTATTTTTATTATTGTTATTATTATGGTTTTAAATTTTACACCAATTTCCTATAGAAGGATTAATGAGGGGAGGATGGTTCAGGAGTAGCAATATATGTATGATTATAAACAGGAGATACTGGGATTGGTTTTATTATTAAAGGACTTTAACACTCAAAGTTTTTAGGGACTTATAAAGGTTAAGCATTTGATATTGATTTTACAATATCTCTAAATCCATTTAGAAATCTTTCGTTATAATATTCAACAATATGAGTAAAAACTTACTTTTATTATGAGTAATATTAATTGTAAAGCTAAGAATATTTAAAATTTATTACCTTATTGAAAGTATTAAAAGATGGACTTTGTTTTTGATGTTTTTAAATTACATAAAATGTACATATTATGACAGTATCAAAAACTACATCTTTTAATACTTCTAATTTTGGATTCTTCATAAATTCCCATATTGCTGAATAAGCAAAATCATGAATATCTAATTAAAGTATGTTACAAAGTTCTTTTATTCTTAATGCTAAATGGTTTTAAAATCTTCTTACTAATTCTTAATCAAAGTATTTTGGGGAATCTACATTAGATTAAATAAATTCTATACTGTCTCTAAATATTATTACTAGATTCTCAGCATTTGTTTGCCACATCAAATTAAATAGAATGTGTTTCTCTAGTTCAAATAGTTATGAAGTTATCGTTGAAGGCATTTATCTATTAAAGTAAGCAAAATTTGCTATGACTCTAAATAAATCTAATGGACTTATTTCAAAAATTGTACAGAGCTATTTCATATTTTATAATAAGTTAGATTTCTATATTACAATTTAATAAGTATACAAAGACAAACCTAAAATTGCAAATTAAAATCTATAATTTTTAAGCAATTTTAAATCAAACTAACCTGCATTTGATTTCATTAATGAATCTATAACAGCTACACATAATGTTAATATTGTTTATTCGTGCTCATTTTATTTTTAAGATTTAGATGCTTCTGTAACTTCAAAAAATTTTCTTATTTTTATAGTTGCTTATTCATAAAATTCTTATTCATAATCATCATCAAAACATTTATAAGTTTACATTGTGATTTTTTTTATCCATTAATGTAATTCCATACACTTACTTATTGGAGTTTGAGGATTTGTATTTTTTTTTATGTCAAAATATGTTTATTCTTGTTGTGTATTTGAAAATTTATTATCTTTTAATGGTGTTTACATAAATGGAGGATCACTTTTTATTTTAGTTTTCTTTTACAATGTCTCAAACTCTGAATAATCTAGTTATTAATTCATATCTTTTTTAGGAGTAAACACAATCCTTTGTCTCAAAAAACATTCCTCATCCAAATCTGAATGCTTTCTAATCTTCTCATAATATTTATGTAATCTTCTATAAGTTTAATCTATTGTTTTCTCCTCAAATAAAGTAGGAACTTGATTTTCTTCATTTATTTACTACATATCTAAAACTTTTGTTTTATGCAACATCACTTTTACAACTTGATTTATACATTTATAACATAAATCCTGGTAATATTTTAATTCCTCATCCCATTCATTTTAATCATTACAAAAAAAAGACAGCATTTTTTATGAAATATCTGATACATTTTATGTGAATGTATTTGGTAAATTTTAAAATACAATGGATAAAGATCCAACTAGAATCAAAATGACTTTAATATTTGGATCAGAGAAAATGATTTAATTATTATCTGGTTGTTCCTCATATTGAATTAAATTCTATCGAACTATTATGCAAAGAATCCAGGCTACTTTTTTTAAGTCTTATATATAGGGATCACAATCATCTTCTTTTTTAAATTAGGGAGTTTAGCTTGGATTCTACACTGGCCTATTTAATATGTAAAATAAAGAGTATACTGAATAAGACTAAAGCATTTGTCAAACTTTTTATACAATCTAAAGCTAAAATTAGCTTATCTGACAACATTATCAAATTCTGTAGAATGATACTTTAGGAGAGTAGGAAGGTCTTATAAAAACATTAAGAACTACTCAATATCTGCTTAGGGATCCAAATTGCGAATAATCTATAATCTAATTACTTATTACTTATGTAAGTGTTATTCCATTGCCTTATTTTGTTTATCCATCTATTTATTGAATTTAGCAGCTTTGACTACACAAGTAAACTACAGCAGGAACATAAATCTAAATTCTCCAAAGATAAATACTTTTTCATCTTGTTCTGAAAATTATTACATAGCTATTTTTGCTTTCTCCAAAGTTTCTTGATCCAAATTTAGTTAGTTAGAAAATTCTTCTATATACATTCTTCCCGGGTAATTTAATATATTTATTAACTAAAAATGAATATTTTTGAAAAACAGAAATGTTGTGTATGTGCAAATAGTATTTAGATATGGTATAAATGTTTTATAATTGTTAGTCTGATGTCTTTGAAGAATTAGTGTAGAAGATGTCATTAAAGTGTTTGTTAATCTTGCAGTAATAATCATATATAAGTAACTCTAGATTGTTATCATAGTTATATGCGATTCCAAATAAAATGGTTTAAGATTTCGAAAAACCATAAAGAGTTTGTGATTATTGTTACAGAGATTATCTTTATTATCAATGTTTAATAAAAGAATAGAGAATATAATGGAATACAAAATCACTTTTGTTATGTAAATTTTTGGGAGAATAAAAAAGAATTATAAAAATATAACAACCTTTAGAATTGAGCGAAAAATAAAATATCGAAAAGGATATTCTAAATGGTAGATCGGATTCTCATCTATTAAATTACAGCATAAGAGAATTTGTTACTTAATGTTAATAAGGATTAAAAATTGAATAAATTAGGAATTCAATCATGAGAGTTTTGGAATTGTTTGTAGCTAATAATCCAACTATTGGTTACTGTTAAGGAATGAATCTTATAGCTATTATTTGCTTATGTTTAGCAGATGAAGAAGGAGCTTTTCATATTATGGATTAACTCTTTAGTACAATTGTACCTTAAAGATTCTATTCATCCTCATCTGGAGCTTATTTAATTGGCTATTATGCAGAAGTTTATTTTCTGTAAGAAATCATTTAAATTAATAAATTTAAAGATTGGCAAATTTTAATGTAATTTATTGAGCTTTAAGGACCATCACTCTTATTAACATTAATGATTTAAGTACTTAATATTAGTTCATTATTGGTGACTTGGATTTAAATGTTTTAAATTCAATCTTTTATTCCAATTGATAAGGCTCTCTTATACACATTATAAACTGCTACTCTAAAAAACATAGATCTAATGTAACCGAATATCATCAATATTATAGGAAAATGTATATATACTAAATTTTATTTAAGGGTATAATTTATATTGAATAATATTACTCAAAAACAAGTTGCTCTTGGGTAGATAATGATCCTAATATCCTCAATAAATTAAAAAAAATCTCAAATTTTGAAATTGACGAAATTGCCTCCCTATAAATAGATTTTAAAAAGAATTGCTTAAATACAAATAAAAATGCAATACATTAATAATATAAATAAAGAATGAAAAAACAAATTCCAATAAATTAATCATCAGATGAAGAAGATGATGAATATAGAGAAAATATAATAATCTAAAAATTTAAACTTAAAAAATAAGGAATAAACTTTGAAAAATTTATGTATTATATGGTAATAATTCCATTTATTTAGATTTGAATAGGATATATTTTTACAAAAAGAAATCTCCATTTACCCTTTAGATAAAGAATTATTTAAATTAATTTTTAACTTATTTGATGAAAATAAATCAGAGCTCTTAGATTTTAGAGAATTTCTTATTTGTTTAAGCATTCTAATAAGAGGTTCTTTTGATGAAAAATTTAAAATGATTTTTTTAGCTAATACATCAAAAATTTTGTAATTTAATGATTTTGAAGCACTTTTATTAATACTCATCGCTTAATATATTCAAATAACTAAAGAATATTAGCAATTTATAGAAAGAATAAAAAGACCTTCATTCACTTACTTTGACATGTTAAATGTATTAAAAGATCCTTTCATTATTCAAATAGAATTGTTAAAGAAGTAAAAAAAATCAGGGATTAAGAAATGTGCTAAATAAAATAGAATAATAAATGAATGAAATCATCATTTATTTTATTATTAAATATGTCTTTTTCGTTGTTGTTTAGGAAGATCTTCTTCACTTTAATCTATTTTTCTTTTTAAACTTAAAGCATTTCCATCTGAATATGGATCATCTTTATCTAAATTATTATTTTTTGAATTTTCATTAGAGGGATTATTTTATTATGCAAGTTCATTTTCTTCATCTACATCTTGATTTTAACTTAATTATAGATTAGGCTATTCTGCTACGATTTTAGCTGTACATTTCTATTAATGTACTTCTAATCTATCTAAAACACCTTTCCATTTGCATCCATACTTTTTATCTGAACAATAAACATCTAATTCACCTAAAATTCCAGCTGCAATACGATCTGCTATAATTAAGTATTTTTTTTTATTACTTTGGAAATTCTTTTTTTTTATATTAGATCTACATTCAGGACAATTTTAATGATCATTTATCCATTAAGAAATGCATATTTTACAAAAAGTATGCCTTCATTAAAATAAATATTACCCACATTTTACTCTAACTGGTTCATTATAAACACCTTCACAAATTATACATTTTAAGTATTTTGAAATTAATTTTTCATTTACAAAGTTTCGTTCCAATTTAATGCTTTTCATAGTATAGTATTTGTAAGTCTTTTCTACCTAAATATTTTATTAATTAATTGTATTATTTAGAATAAATGATTTCTATGAGAAAATGTGATGAAATAATGTAAAATTACAATTTTATCATAAATAATTAATAAAAAAAGTATAAATAGAAAAAAATAGCAAATATAGTTTAGAATTAAATTTTTATTTGCAATTGAAATAAATTTTAATATGTCTGAAATTGAGCAGTTAACTTAATAGAAGTAAGAGATTGAGAAAAGTTAAGGAATTTTGAATTAATGGGTTCAGTTAAAGAAAAATTTGTCATAAAAATTCAAAAATCCTGCAGAAGCTTTTAAATCATTATGTAAGGAAGGGAAAGAAGTATTAGCGATTGAAGATTTTGGAGATTTTGCAAAAGGATTAGATTTGTAAGTTTATAAAAGTATATTTATCTAGAACTTAAGTATTTAAAGATTATACATTAAATGAAGATAATTTTTGTAAGGCTTGGGAATAATGGGAATACAAATAAAAATAAAATGATCATAAATTACAAATCATAAATGAAAAGCTTCAACTATTGATAATGTTAGATAATGGAGAGATGCCTAAAGAAGGTTTAAGAGGATTAGATTCAGCACCAAATAAAAGAGTACAACAAATAACAGAGAATAATGAAACATTAGAAAAATTATAAGAAAAATTAGATAATCTAGTAAATGAAGGATTGAAATAAAAAGAAAAGCAAGATGTTATTGAAAATGAATAAGATTGTTTTTCATAATTTATGGCAAAGAAATCAGAAATTAAAACATAAGAATTGTCTATAACAAAACTTTAATAAAAAAATAATGAAGATGATGAAGGAAGTAATCCTTCTAAATCAAAGAGAAGTTATATTGATTAAACTCCTTCATATACAAGAAATAAAGCAACTTTTGGAAGCAGTAGTAGTAATTTGCTTCAAAGTAGTCTTTAAAATAAGGGTTCGTTAGGAAATAGTCAATTATCCGTTAAATCTTCATTTATAATTGAATCTTAGATTTAAATATCTCCTTAGAAGGCAGCTCAAAATTTAAGAAATTATACATAAAATCCTTAATAATAAATGAAATCTCCATATGAGGAAAGGTAATAATAAGAGGAAAGAAAGTCTTAAAAAGCTAATAAAATGAAGGGTGAACTTTAGACTTATATTTCTGAATTATTTTAGAATGAAAGAGATTAAAGATAATAAATAAGAACATTTGAGAAACCAATTCTTTAAGAATAGTAGAGAGGAGGTTTAGCTGGTTTTGTGACATCAAAGAAATTTTATTAGAATTAATCAAATAAATAATCTTTTATAGATGGTGATTCTTAAAATGTATCTAAGAGAGTTTAAACTATTAGGTATAATTTAAAAATATAATAGGTATAAATTGGATGATTTTTAATCCTAAAAATTAGCATAATATAGTTATGTTCCAAGAACACTTCCAGAATGGACTCCTGATAGACCAGTTAGATTATCAAATCCAAAACCTAAATAAAATAGTGGAAAATAGATAAGTCCAAAATATACTCCTGGAAACACTCATAGATTAAATTTAAATTATTTGAAGTAAGAGAAAGAAAAGGATGCTGTATCTGAATAAAAGTAAGAAGAACATTGATGAATCAATTGCTGATTTAATATCTATTAGTAATATAAATAAATAATGTTTTTTATTTTTGTATTTTTATATAGCACAATATAGTTCATAAATTAAATAAATAGCTTAATAAATTAACTAGCCAATTTGTATTTTATTGTTTAATTTTTAGTTTCTATTTCTCTTTTTAGACTTAATTGTTATAGAGAAAATCAGTTAGTCGAATCAATTCTAAACAATAATGTCCTATTAATGATTTATATAATATAGCTAAATCTGAATGTTAAGGATTAAAGATATCGCAGATTCCCCATGGAAATTTTCTAAATTTTATAAATTATTGTTCACCTTCCATAAATAAGATGATTTCCAACTTAAAATTATTCTACCGAACTTATAATCACATAAGGAGGAGTAGATCCAAACTGACTTTTCTCATTTAAATTATTATTGCATTGACATTTAAATAGATCTATATGATATTCATTGACCAAATCATTAAATTGTTTTTTTAATTAGATAATTTCATTTTTAGTATAAGAGTCTCCCTTAGCTAGAATTGGAATAACATTAACTAATCCACTTATTTTTTTTAATGCTTATAAATCTTCAGTTTAGATTCTAGGACCAGAGAAAAAGTAAAAACATACATGAACTCTTTCATCTAAATCTTGTTATGATAATTGTTAAAATTTCTCTTTGCTTTCATATTATAGATTTTATCGTTGTTGATAAGAGTTAAATTAAGTTCGAATATATCCGCATAATAATTTAAGCCAAGATCTGAGACTATATTAATGTCTAAAACCAGGAGTGTCAATAAATTTAATGTTCAAAGTGAAATCGTTTACATGGATTTAACCTTTTTTCTCTTAATTCAATAAATACCTTATATTTCTTAGATTTATAGAGTAGAATCTCTAATTATTTAACCTGTCCCAAGCTTTTTTTTTAAGAGAACATCAATAAAGGTAGACTTTCCTAAACCTGACTAACCAACAACCATTATATTAAGGTAAATCTATTATAGAAGTAACTCAATCATACAGGTTTATGATCTCTTTATTTTTTTTATTCAATCAAGGCTTTAATTTCAGATCCTGGATAAGAATCTCCCAATGATTCAACTATTTGTGATTCATATTCTGATTTTTCAATATCCTATTATATTATTGGTAAATGTTATTTTTAGGAAGACGATTTACTAATTGTAGAAGTATACTTTACTTTTCTTAATATTCTGATGTTTCACTAGCTTATTCATCGAATTTGTGATCACTTTATTTAATTGTACCAGTTGGCCCGTTTATGATAGAAAAATCATCTGTTCTTTATGAATTATCTAATTAAATTGGCTTTAAATTTCATTACAAGAAGTCTCAAGTTTAGTTCTTTTGAAATCTTGCATTATAAAATAATTTAATGGAACTAAATTTGAGATTAAGATGGTTTTATTAATAAATAACAATATAATTCTTTCGTATAACATTATGAGATAAGCAAATAAGTACAATTATATAACGAGATAATAGTTTGTTAATGTTGAATAATGTGAATATAATTTATTGATATAATGATAATTAAGTCTAAAGCTACAGTAACAAAGATAAAGTTGCCATAATTGGCTATGAGTCATATTCGAGAAAGGTCAACTAGACATTCAAAGACTAGATCTTTAAATCCATCTCAATCTCCAGTATCTAAAATGTTATAGCCAACAACTCCTTTACATTCAACTCATCATAAAAACTAATCCTATTATCATTATTCTAGTATAATGAAAATAGAATAAACTCCTCTCAATGAAGTAGAAATGTTCAACTGTTTATATAAACCACTTGATGCTATTCCTTCTAATAAAAATAAAGATAGTGCTCTTAAGCGTATGCGTAACAGTAGTAATGAAAACTTTCAAAATAATTTTATGATATCTCGAGATCCTCGTAGAAGTGCACCTGATTTAGACATGTATCCAAATCATTTAATGAAACCTTAATAACAAAATCAGACAAAGAGAATCGAAATAAGAGAGAAAATTATGGAAATATATCATTAAGTTGAGAAATTGTTAAAAAATCATAAAGGTTATGTTAGATAGATTGAGAAAAAGTAGGCTATTATTACATTAGTAAAATTGAGAAAAGAATTCATACTTTTAAATTAAGATTATAATGATTATTATATATTACCATAAGCAAAACCAGATGTTGAATTTTAAACTAGAATGGAAATGCTTATTAAATTATTTTAACCTAATAAATTGTAAAAGAGTAATAATAGGATTAATTTACTATTTAATTTAGATGAATCATTTAATACAGCTGAATAAAGTTAAATAATGCAATTAATGTCTGATTAATTGAGTGATTAGGATATATATAATTCAACCTCTCAATAATCTTGTGAAAATTTATCTGAAATGTCTGGAGCTATCAGTTAATCAAAAAGAAATGCTTAATAACATAGAAATACTAAAGTTTCAGTATCTAAATAGTCTAAGATAATTAATCCTATAGAGTAAATCTAAATATAACAAATACAAGTTGATTCATAAAAATAGAAACGTAAAAGTATTCGATAAGATTAAAAGGAATCTAAAACATAAATTCCTCGTAAATATACAAAATTAAGTATTGAAGATATCACTGATAATAAAGAAAAAGATGCTAATATTAATTATTTTGAAGATGAAAATTAACCAAGTGAAAATGGAACTGCAGATAAAGGTACAGATACTAAGAGAAGAGTTAGAAGAGATGCAAAAATTATTAGCAGAAAAAATGGTATTTTTGATGCTAATGGTCAACTTATTGATAAAAAAAATTATAGAATCAATACTGATGGTTAAATGGTTAGTGATTTAATATCAGATTAAGATAAATCTAGTGATAATAGAAGATAATCTGAAGAAACAAATAGATATGGATTAGAAAATAGAGAAGATTTATTATCTAATTAAGAACAAATTGAAGAGATTTTAAATTAAGTTGAGAATGAATTAATGACTTATCAAAGAGGAGATCAAAATGATAATTCTAAAAAAAGAACAAAACCAATGGAATTTAATAATAATAATAATCAATAATCTAAAACTAAATTCTAATAATAACAAAGTAGATATGATCAAAATCTTATCATTAAATAAAGTTAAATTTATAAAACAGAACCTGAGTTTTTAAATTAAATTATTGATGAAACTGGTTTGATCCAAGCCTTATATAATTGTCAATACATTTATGATTCTCGAATTTTGGATCTATATAGAATAGACAAACAATATACTACATGGGATGATGATATAGATTATATATACTGTGGGGAGTATTAATTCAGATGATTTATTATATATAATTTTTGATATTGATCATTATTAGACTTTCTCTTAAGCTTTTTACAATAAATCAAAGAAATTGATTGAAGAACTTCCTGTTGGTAGATTCAAAAAGCCCATAGCTGTAAATGCCTAAAGGTGTAATTTAAATCCATCTATATTATCATAATTTGAAAATGTTGGACATAAAAATACTATATGTTTACTAATTAACAAATTGAATCCCATTTTTAGAGCAGCAGCTAAATATTATTAATTAAAAGTACTATGATCATAATCTAAAATTATTGATAAAATCTTTAAAATGATATCCATTATAGATTCTGCTGTTAGAATTTAAGGAGGAAATGCAAAATAATGTTGAATATCCAAAGATTTAACTAAGATAATATTATTTATTTACGTTTAAATATTTCTCTTTAAACTTCATAACATTGACTTCTTTAATCAAGAATAAATTCTTCAATTGGCATTAATTGTTTATAATTTACTTATACTTTTTTTTCATTCAGAAACTTAAATAGTTTTTTATTCACTTTATTTAATTCAGCATGTTATCTAAGAATTATTGAATAATGTCCATTAGACAATGGTAAAAATGATTCTAAATCTTAAGGAAGAATATTTAAAACAACTAATGCATCACATTTATTTATTATTTTTGTGACAATCTCACAATCTTGAACTGTAATTGATTTAAATATATCTAATTAGTGTTCATATAATCCTTCACAATTTGATTATGCACTACTCTTTTTATATGAGTTAATTCTGCCTCTCTTAATACAACTAAAATCATCAATATGATCATCAATAGGTTTGCATAACAACATTTAACCATCCATTAATGGGAATGGATGCAAGATTAATGCATATTAATTTCTAAATTTATGAACATATAATTCTGAGATATCAATTTTGTCTGGTTTTTCTTAATTATTGTTAAGAATAGTTTCAATATCTTCTTAGAGATCAAGAACAGCTCCACCTCCAATAGATTAAACTTGATCTAATTCTTATTATTCAATAGTATTAGCATTTAATTCTTATAATTATTCAGGAGATTGTTGATCAGTTTATTGGGGATCATCATTTAAATCGTTTTTAATGACATCTTATTCTCCATCTTCATTTGGTTATTCAACAATAGGTTAGGTTTAGATGGTTGCTTTAGGAGAAGAATTGGTATCATTTAATTCATTATTATCTTTTCTGATATCAGGAGATATCATACCTAAATAATAAATATAATATTACTATTTTTATGAGATTATTCTCTTTCTCTTTGTAATGCCAATTCCTAAAGTTATTATTAGAGTTATTCTTATTCTAAAGTGAGAAATCTTGCAGTTTCACTAAACCACAAGATTTGTTTGATTACTAATTTACCATCTTCTTTGACTTCAGCATTCACATAATTAGATTCTTAGATAGTTTCTTTGTTTTCTTCAACATAATGAGATTCTTATAATTTCTTGATTGGTCTAAGTCTGTCATCAAACTTATATAGGAACTATAATAGATTAAAGAAATCACCTTCATTCCATTCCTAAAACTTGATGCATAAATACTGTCAGTTGATAAGTTGCGTTTAACATCTGTACGTATGAGATTATTGAGTGAATCATACCAATTCTTAAGCTTTTCTTTGACACCACTTTTAAATGAGGATTTGAATACACCATCTGTAGGTTATACAATATTATTAGAATAGATGATAAGCATCTGTTATTCAATTTTTTCAACCATAGTTTTCTTACCTTTCTATAATTTTAATTTCAAATCCAATTCTTATTTGGCAATCTTCTTATTAACATCTGGAGTAATAGGTCCTTGTCTCAACTTTGGATCAGAGAAACCGAATCTACTCTCTGCTAATGCAATAAATGCCTAAATGATTGCATTGTAATACATTTCTGTCTCCAATTAGACATCCATCCATTGTATATATGATTGGATTACTCTTTTATTTAAATCCGTAAATTCTACAGATCTCATCGGCATATTATTCCCATTAAGTTAGATCTTTCAATACAATCTTGAATGAGATTTCTGGATAATATTGTCTAATCAGATTAGCCATGTTCTCACACTATTAAGTTAAGAAAACAATTGAAGTACTTCTGCTGTGTCAACTTTATCAGAACTTCCTGCTATTATATACGAACTCATTTTTATTAATTATCTTTATTTGTATTGTACTATAATTAATGAATCTAAATCAACGATTGGTTTTAGCAACTTTCTCTAATTCATCTCTCTTCTTAATTGTGTATGACTTTTATCCATCTTCATTGGCTGCTGCAATTAATTCATCAGCTAAGGCTTCAGCTATTGTTTTCATCTTTTTAAATACAGATTCTCTAACACCTTTGGCTAAATTGTGTACAGCCTTTTTTTTATTACAATACAATATACTTCATTAACTCTTCTAATTGGAGCAACATCAACTGCTTATTATTTGGCAACACCACCAGTTCCAACTTTAGTGAAATCTTCTCTTGCTCCACCTCTTTGTACTGCAAGTGACAATACTGCAAGTGGATTTTTACCTGTCAATAAATGCACTATTTCAAATGCATGTCTGATTATTGCCACAGCCTTTACTTTCTTACCTGTATTTCTGCCATGAAACATAAGTGCACCAGCTAATCTCTCAACTATTGGACATTAAGCCTTTCTAAACTTCTTTCTTTAATATCTATATACATTTATATTCAAACTATTTACCTTCCAGCTGTGTGAGGCACAAACACTCGAGATTTTGATGTTTGAACTGCAATATAATCTTTGAAGCATTAATCTGTTACTTAAACTTCATCATAATCCCATTTTCCAAATAATTTTGGTTGATTTGCAAATTTCACTGTAGCTACAGATTCTTATTCAGCCATAATATTTTTTTTAAAAAGGATATTTTATTTATTTAAAATTTCATATATTTTTCATGATTAAACAATCATTCAAAGCCAAAGTAGCCATAATGTTATCTTATATTGGTACAAATTATCATGGACTACAATATTAACCAGATTATCCAACTATTGAATCTAATCTATTTCATGCTCTCATTAAAACAGTAATTTATAATCAAATCAAGGAAATTAGTATCACATTTGAATGCTGATAGTATTAAAAAAATTGGAATTACTAGGGGAGCTAGAACAGATCGTGGAGTACATGCATTATGTAATATCATCTCATTGAAATTATAAATTGATCAAAAATATTGTTAATCAATGACAAATAATAAATTAGTTGATAAATGGAATATTGATTGGGATCTTTTAATTAATGAATTGAATTCTCAATTACCTAAAGATATCAAAGTTAATGGAATCAAACATGTTACTCAATCATTCAATGTAAAAAATCAAGCAGATTAAAGAATGTATAATTATATTTCACCACAATTCTCTTCATCTGATCAAATACAAAAAATATGTAATGAATATTTAGGTACTCATAATTTTCATAATTACACATCAAAAAAAGAATATAAAGATCCATCATCAAAAAGATTTATATAGGAATTTAACGTTTAACCTTTCAAATTTAATGAAGAAAACTATTTAAAATTCACCATTTTGGGAAATAGTTTCATGTACCATTAAATCAGAAAAATGATAGGAACTATTTATTAAATTATACAAGAGAAGAAAGACCTTGAATTTATTAAACAAACCTTTTCTGAAAAATAGCATTCATTATATATAGCTCCATAACAAGGTTTATATTTAAGAGAAATCAAATTCTTTGGTTATAATATGAAGCCAGATATTCCATAGAAATTGGAATATGATTTCAAACAATAGATATTGATTGATGAATTTGAAGATGAGTTGATGAAATACATATGTGATTAATATGAAAGGGAAAATATCTTTGAGGAATGGTATAAAGAGATATAATAATATAAACACTGATTCAAATATAATTATTTATATAATAATTATGGATTAACATCATTCTAAATCTTTTGGTGCTTTCAATTAGTTGAACTCTCAGCTTTTTAAACCAAAACCTCTTTCTTTTAGACTTTAAATTGGTAAAAAATCTCTTTAATTTCTAAGGTCCATTACCTACTGAAATACCGCAAGTTCTCAAATAAGGTCTTGTCACTCCTTCAACAAATGATAATGATTCAAAGTATTCCTCTATCTAATTTAGTTATTCTCCATCTCCATAATTGAGAGCTTTTAAATCCTATAGAGTCTCCACTGAAATGTTAAATGGATCTCCTATTGATTAAATTTAACTAATTATTAGAGAAAACGAGAACTTAAAAAAATCATTGAACCAAAAATAAAAGATAATTGAAACCTTGACAAAATCATAGAAAACTAAAATTCGATTAGATTTTAATGATTTAAAGAAGAATTCAAGATTCCATAATTAACCTCAAAGCAAATAAGAAGCTATTAAACCTAAATAGTTGAAGTAAAGTAATCTGTTTCTCAAAATTATAATAAACGTACAAAGTTACCAAAAATTGATGATAATCTCTCTAAAGATGATGAATGTAACTTCACTTTTGCTAATAATTTTTTTAATAACAATACCACTTGCCAAAATTAAAAGATCAATTTTAAATAAGTGTTTGCTTAATCTCATCTAAAGAAGAAATTTTTCACTTGATATAATTAATATCTATAAAATATTTAAATGACAGAAAATTATAATCATATCACAACATCTTAAGCTATATTCGATGTTATCAAAAGAGGTAATTAAGTTGAAGAAACTCGAATTCAATTTGAAATCAAATGTATTGGAACTGAAATTGAAGAAGCTTAAATGTATAAATTCATTTTCAAAAGTAAAGGGGAAAAGATGTAGTCAAGTATAAATTTACAATCACTAAAATTGATTTGTCAACAGGTACCAAAACTTCTCATGATTTTGTCAGAAGGTAAATCAAAAATCAACAACTTATAGATATACACATTTTCTATGGTTACAAAATGAATTGTAAAATAAATAAATAGGAAGAGTAATTCCAAGTCTCCCTGATAAATAAACTGTTTATGATAAAGATAAAAGGTAACTCAATCCTTTATATTAATATAGAAAAATAGAATTTGTTTACTTTATGTAGAAAATATTAAGTAATAAAAAATTGTAATAAACTGATTGTCTAGAACGGTTTTTTAGTAAAGAATTATGTGTAATCAATTAATTTAATAATCTATAGGATTTTGATAATTTTTAACATTATATAGATAATATGAAAGAGTCTTAATCAATGATTAATATATTTATCAATACAGGGATATCATTTATGAATATGTTTTAAAAAGTTTGCAATTATAATTCTGTGTAGGTTTTACCTAGAATTCCAGATGAAAATGATAAATAATTAGAAGAATGTAAATTGTTAATTATATTTTTAAAGATAAGAAGGACTTGGAGTTAAATAAATTAAGCACTGAAATTATTGCTTCAGATCTTCATAAGATTGTTTAGAAATTGTAAATATAAGCCAGATCCTTATCTAATAGTTTTGATATATTTAGTAATTTTTTTGGTAATGATAGTGAATGAATGTTAAGGAACTGAAGAATTTACAAGGTTAAAAACAATTATTAAGATTTATGAAACATATGAAATTATATTAAGATAAAAATATATTTTTAGAATGGAAGCAAACATAAAAGATTATGATTAAGCAATAAAATTAATAAATTTACATAAAGAGTTAAAAGATTAAATCAATAAAGATACTCAATTAATAAATAATCCGAATAACAGATCTTAAATAGATGAACTAAAATTATAAATTAGTAATAACAAATAGAAAGTAGAATAATTGAATTATAACTTCCTAGATGATATAAATAATTTTAAATAGCAATAAATTTGGTGTTTGAATGATGTATAATAAAATTTTTACATTGATTTGTAAGAATGCTATGAATCAATTAGATAGTAGAAGAAAACTAATCATTTGTGAAATATATAATTATTACATAATTTTTTATTATAATTTTATAATTAAATTAAGTTATTGATATATTTTGAATATGTCTAAACAAATTTAATAAGACTAAGAGCAAGAATAAAAATAGTAAGAAGAAGAAGAAATCGAGGCAATTTAATAAAATGATTTTAAAGAATTGTATGTAGATTAAGGTATTTAAGAATTCTCCTGTAAATTAGATTAATTCATGCGTTAAATAAATTAACTTAATGAATAGGCAGTTCTAAAAATTAAACTTTAAAAATATTAGGAAGCAATGAAATTATTTTTAAAATTGGAATAAATGTTAATAGTAAAAAAACTAAATAATATAAAAGTATGCGAAAAGTTGTGGAAAACAAATTGATAAAGATCTAATTATTGTCATATCTTATAATTAAGCATGTTGTTATCAATCGTAAATATTGTATAATATCCTTAAAGTTAATGGATTTTAGATAAATGTACAAAATATTTAAATGGGGTAATTTACAATTTGGATGAGGATATAAAAGAAAAAGATATAAATAAAAATAAATAAATAAGTGATTCAACTTTAGTAAAAAAAAAAACTTTTCTTGCAAGAGCTTCTTTGCAAGAAACTGCCTTACTGAGTCAATTAGGAAAGTAATATTTGATTAAATAATTAGACATAAATAAGCATTATAATCAGCAAGAAGGGCAGCAGATAGTATGAGAGAAGTTTTTAAATTAGCATCATAGTTTTGTTTAGATTGGCTTAATAAAAATGGATCTTTAGAAAATATAAACAATTCCTGTTTAAACAATAAATCTAAGCAAAATAATAATAAATTTTAAATGAAGGACGAAGTTGAATTTAGTAAATTAGTAATTAATTTTGGAAAGGATATTTTATTAGATATGTTAAAATATTAAGATTTAGATAATATGTCAAATGATGAATAATTGATTTTAAGAGAAGCTAAAAAATAATTATATTTTTGGAAAAATAATCCATCAAATAATGAAAAACATATTCGCAAAGAATTAAAATTATCAAATAAAATGGAGGATTATCGCTCAATCTTAGGAGTTTAAAATGTTCAAGAATGGATCTAATCATTTAATATTAGTTTTATCATGAATATGACTCCGCTAATTCATAATGAATTTACATAATAAGGAGAAATGTTATATGAGATTTCTAAAAGATTGTTGTTTGAAAAAATCATTTAATTATCTATTTCATACTTTACTATTGCAACAGAATTAAGATTTATAGAATTAGAAAAAGCAAAACAATTGAAAATTAAAGAATTAAATACCGATGAATTTAAATTAAGTGAATTATATCATCTTAAAGCTATTGAAATTGCATGTAAATATATAACTTGTACTTCTCAGTATATCAATCATCTTATTACAACCTACCATAAACATTATAATTCTAATTTAGATACTATTTAAGAAGAGTCAATTAATTCTATTGTATCAGATATTAATTATAAAGAATTAAATTTATAAAAACTTAAATTTATTCANTCATATCTTATAATTAAGCATGTTGTTATCAATCGTAAATATTGTATAATATCCTTAAAGTTAATGGATTTTAGATAAATGTACAAAATATTTAAATGGGGTAATTTACAATTTGGATGAGGATATAAAAGAAAAAGATATAAATAAAAATAAATAAATAAGTGATTCAACTTTAGTAAAAAAAAAAACTTTTCTTGCAAGAGCTTCTTTGCAAGAAACTGCCTTACTGAGTCAATTAGGAAAGTAATATTTGATTAAATAATTAGACATAAATAAGCATTATAATCAGCAAGAAGGGCAGCAGATAGTATGAGAGAAGTTTTTAAATTAGCATCATAGTTTTGTTTAGATTGGCTTAATAAAAATGGATCTTTAGAAAATATAAACAATTCCTGTTTAAACAATAAATCTAAGCAAAATAATAATAAATTTTAAATGAAGGACGAAGTTGAATTTAGTAAATTAGTAATTAATTTTGGAAAGGATATTTTATTAGATATGTTAAAATATTAAGATTTAGATAATATGTCAAATGATGAATAATTGATTTTAAGAGAAGCTAAAAAATAATTATATTTTTGGAAAAATAATCCATCAAATAATGAAAAACATATTCGCAAAGAATTAAAATTATCAAATAAAATGGAGGATTATCGCTCAATCTTAGGAGTTTAAAATGTTCAAGAATGGATCTAATCATTTAATATTAGTTTTATCATGAATATGACTCCGCTAATTCATAATGAATTTACATAATAAGGAGAAATGTTATATGAGATTTCTAAAAGATTGTTGTTTGAAAAAATCATTTAATTATCTATTTCATACTTTACTATTGCAACAGAATTAAGATTTATAGAATTAGAAAAAGCAAAACAATTGAAAATTAAAGAATTAAATACCGATGAATTTAAATTAAGTGAATTATATCATCTTAAAGCTATTGAAATTGCATGTAAATATATAACTTGTACTTCTCAGTATATCAATCATCTTATTACAACCTACCATAAACATTATAATTCTAATTTAGATACTATTTAAGAAGAGTCAATTAATTCTATTGTATCAGATATTAATTATAAAGAATTAAATTTATAAAAACTTAAATTTATTCAAATATAAACTTAAAGAGATAATTAATTACTTTTTTAGAATATAAATGAATAAAACCTAAATGATACTTCTTCTACTACTGGAATATTAACCAATTCATTCAATGGCTTATAATCTCTTAAATCCTATAGAAAAATAAGTGATAATCTTAAGACTTAACCTAATAATTTTAATCAAATAATTAGAAGCAAAAGAATATTATAAATACCTTCTGATTTTAATTCGAAATAAAAATTCTAATTTTTCAATGCCTCAACAAATAACAGTTGCGAAAAAGTCAATGAAAAGATATTAAAAATGTAAGAGGGTCTACCAGTTTAATTTCAAACTTATAAATCAGCAAAATTATCATTAAATCATTTATTAAAGTAAACAACTTTAGTTTAAAAAAATAATAATGGACTATAAAAATCATTTTTACTTGACAGGTAGAATTTTATAAAAAATCATACTCCTAAAGGAGGAAGATCTCCATAATTATCTCCTTGCAAATCTTAAGTAAAATTTACACCATTAACTTCAATTCTTTAAAATAAAACTATTCATAAATAAGAAATTGAATCATGTATAGATATGTATTATAATTAGAATTTTCAATGAAATTAGAAACACTACAACAATTATTAAGTGAAAAATCATAAAATAATTAAAAAAGAAAATGAAGACAACTTATCATTCTTTTAGAGTTTTTGTTTATAATTATTTATAATGAAATTATTCAATAATTTCTATCATATCAATTAAAATCCTCTTGTACTCTTATTAAATCTATCATCTGTTAATTCTAAAGTACTTCCTAAATAAGATTATTAATGAATCAATTATTATTATTATTAACTATTACTTCTGATTGTATTCAATAAATTTATCACTCGATTTTAATATTCATTTATATTCTTATTTCTATGTGATCTATCATTTGAATTTAATGGTAATAATGAAATGTCTGATTTAGTTTACTTCTAGGCAATAATTTATTCTAAAATTGTAGAATATTTCATCATTTTTTAATTTAGGTCTAACTCTTTTTTAATTAAAAGGTCTTCTTTTTAAGATAATTAATTCTCTTTTTCTTTCAATTTCTTTTCTTTTTATATTAACTATACTTAAGTATTATAATAAAAATTACTTATTTTTCTTTTTGTTATAATTTTGATTCCCATGAATTAAAAATGTCTGTATTAGAGCTATTATCCAGTAGCTAAGATTTTTTATTAATCACAGATGGTTTGAGTAAATTATCGACTTAATTCATAACTGAAAAAATTAATAATTAATCATCAAAATTTAAATTATTAAGATGTAGCTGTTGTCTAAAATACAGAATTTTTTATTTTTGGTGATTCAGTATATTATCTAAATGTTTTGAATTAAAACTTTTTGGTCATCCTTTTTAATTCTTTTAACTTTTCATTAAAATAACTCTCATAATGGATAAAATATTACCTGTTACATTTAAGAAATATTGATTGCAGAGATCTCACAAGAACCACTTGTATTAATATGTTTAGAAACATATTACTTAAGATCCTATTAAAAATTTGACTATTCTTTCACATCTTCATTGTTTCGAGTATAAGTTTTTATTTATTCTTAAGAATTATTTGTATTTTTAATCTCAAATAAGTAATTATTTTTATTAAAATTAGTAGCCTCTGAAATTATGACATCTTATTGACTAAAAGTCCTTCTTATATTTGGTGAAATTTTATTTATATCCTTATAATCAATACATAAATTATTTGGTTATTTTTAATCATTCTCATATTTAGAATCTTATTTTTTATTTAAATGTTTAAATAATTCATCTTAGTATTTCTCTTTTTAATTTAATTCTAAATTACAAATAGGCTTAAAACATTTTAATTCTTCAATTACTGTTGAGTTTCTCTTCTTTAAAAGAGGTAAAATTTCAAAAAATCTTTATCCTTTATATTTTACATATGATTTAAGGTCATCTCTATTTTTTTTATGTAATGCTCTAATACTTTTGATTGCTTCAGTCTTATTTTAAGTTTCATACATTCCATTTATTTTTTATATATATTGTTTCATGAATTCTATTTTATCTTAATAATCTTATGATATTTCTTTTGTTTTAAAATGCTTCTCCAATTAGTTTTCATATATTTAATCAATTTTAAGATCTTCCTAATTTGATTTCCAATCATAATGGACTGGAATGTATTTTTAATTTCCTATAATACCTGATTTTTTTGAATTAACTTTAACATTCTACTATTTGATTGGTTCCTCTGATTAACCATATCTAATAATTCTTTTCTGACTAAATGACCTACATTATTTAATATCAGAATAGTTTTCTCTTAAATATAAATATGCAACAACTTTTTTCATTCTATTTTCATTTCCATTTTCTCTATCAATATCAGGATATGAATTAAAAAAAGGAACCTCATAATTAGTTTATATACTTATATATTCTTTCTATTATTATTGCTATCAATAATACTTCTCCTAATTTATTTTGTTTTAGGTTTCATTAAAAATAAAAAAATAAAATCAATAACTTATTTTTATACTTCTTAATAATGTGTATTTTTCTTATTCTCTAAATATGTGTATATCTTTCATCTCTATTATCATTTGCTTATTAACTTGAGGATTGAGGAATGATTATATTTCAAAGGTACTTTTTATAAAACCTAGGAGAACAAATTTTTAACCCAATATCTTGACTTTTAAAATAAAAATTAATTAAAACTCACTTTCTTAATTAAAGAGATAAATTTTTTAAATCTTTCAGAGAATAGTTTTATTTGTAAGATTGGAAAATCACATGTTATTTTTATACTTATTAATAATCTCTTTATTTTATATATAAATTATAAAGTTAAATAAAATATTATATTAATTTTTATGCAAACAAAAAAAGAGCAATTATTTTTAAAACCTTAATAAAATGTTGGATCATTAAATTAAGAACCTTTAACTATTAGATTTCTTAGACATTAAGCTAAATCTTAAGAAGTAATTATTTGTTCTAAATTTTAATAGCTTTATACTAATTTCTTATAGCAAAAAGAACCAAAAATAATAAAATAACCTAAGAAGTGGACTTTGAAATAATTATTAAATATAGTTGATAAGTAATCATAAGCAATATAAACAACTCGTTTTTTTAATATAAGAAATTTAAACAAAAGAAGTTAAGAGTAAAGTAAGGAGAAAGATAAATCAGATGTTGTACCTGTTGTGGAAGAGAAGTTTATTGAAGAATAAGTTGGAGAATCAGCAAGAATAAGATTGGTAAAATTTCTTTCTTTTCACAAAGTTAATTAAAATGGATAAGTTGATAAAACTAGACAAGGATTTAATTTAAACTTATCTCAAATAAAATCAGAGAATCAAAGTTAAAATAGTATCAAAAAAACTTTCATTAAAATAAATACTTCAAGACTTAGATAAGATCTTAATAATAGTGTAACTGATTAAAGAAATTAATTTAAGACAATAAAATAGAAAATGCAAAACATTTTTAGTACAACTGAAAGAAAGGTTTTAGTTTCTTATGCAAATACTGCTTAACAATTACAATTAACTTCAGGTAGAAAAAGAAATACTAAAATTGTCAAAAAGTTTTAAAGAATTACAAAAGAAATAATTTAGGTTGTAAAATACATGTTGAAATATAAATTATGGTTTTGTTATCCTATCACATATAATAGAACATTTTTATAAAAAATATTAGAAAAATAATTTGAATAGATTAAAAATGAATTACATTAAGATCCTTAATTGGTGCATATAAGAAACTAAGTATTTTATATAAAATAAACAAGAGCATGGATAAACTCCTTTGCATCTAGCATGCATTTAAAATAATTTTGCTTTGACAAAATTATTTATTTAAAACAAAAGCTATCTGAATAGTTTGGATTAGTTCTAATTAACTCCTTTATCATATGCAATTTAATCTAATTCTACGATATGTCTCAAAGTACTATTTGATTAGATTAAAGTTATTACTTGATTCGTTGGCATCTCCTTGGTCACCTCCTGGATAAATGATTGATTTAAGTAAATTAACTCCTTTGATGAAAGAGATAATTCTTAAATCAAGGATATGTGATGTATTACGTATTTGGAAGAGAGAAGTTAAGATAAAGTAGTTGGTTAAATAATTTAGTAAAAATAAATGATTTATATTTGTTTTCTTTGAAGAAATAAATTTAAAATAGATAATAGATAATATATTATTATTAATATAATCAAAATATTTGAAATAAGTATTAAAATGCTCCATTATAATTTAATTTTGAAACTTAAAATAATATAGCAATCTAAAATCAGATTTTAATATAAATTTATAAATAAGTAAAAATGTAAGACCCATCAAGTTTAAATTTTTAAGTTGAAGCAGAGCCAAGTATCCAAAAAATTAGATCAATCTAGATTCAGAAGAAGAAAAGTTTAGTAATGAAATTATCAACTGATTCAGAAAATGTAGAAAGTGATTAGAGCGTTGATAACTCTCAATATTATAGAAAATAGTTTTTAGATAGCTATTCTATGTTTACAACTAAGAACTCAATACCAGGGAAATTCAAAAGCTTGAATTAAAAAAGCAATTCGGTAACTTATAAGGCAAAACTTGCTTCAATAAGAAAAATAAAATCATTCAGACTAGATGATAACATAGATAGTTAAGATGAAGAAGAAAGTTTACCTAAAGAATTAATGAATGTTGATTTTTAGTTTAGATAAGATGCTATAATTAATGTTTAAAAAATCCTTTAATAAAAGAAATGATAATACTATTGATTTTTCACTTAATTACTATTGTTAAAAGTAATATATTAAATTTACGATTTACAATATTATTTAATTTAATATTGAATCAATATATTTTTAGATAATCATCATTATTTGATTGAATCGATGTAGTCTAGAGATTCTACTTAGACAAGTAATTAATCTGGTAGCTAACATGGTTATTTAGCACTTTAAATGTAAACTTATAGAGGTTTAGATAAAGTAGGAGTCATTACATTTTATATCAATCCTAAAGTGAATTAATCATATTCGTTTATGTTTTTGATTGAAGAAAGTTCTTAAGCTGTCTACATGATCTGATTAGCAATTTTATAGCATTCAGCAGTAAGAATAGTGTAACTTTTGTTTTTAGTTCTGTCAAATAAGATGTCATTTTCATTTTTTAGTAATATACTCCATATACCATAAACTTTGAAATACTTTTGTCCACTAAGACAATATTCAAGTATTTCTGGTTGTATTTGATCTTTAATTTAAGTCAATCGATTATATGCATCTATTAATTTAGTATAACTGGATTTACAAACTCTGACCATGTTTTCATATGATTTTTATTATCTAAAAATTTCTAAATAGAAAAAGTTCATATTGCATTCTATTAACAATTTAAAAGAAAATATTGTTGTCATTTTAAGTTCTGGAATTAAAGATTATTACTTAGTAACCAAGAAATGTAATAAATCATCCATTACATTACATAATCTTTAGAAAGGCATCCAACCAGCTGATATTACTTTTAAACCTTCTTAAACATCATTTAAATCAATATTATTAGGAGTAGAGAGCATAGAATATCTTAATCTTAATACATGAGGAGTTGCAGCATTATTGAATCCCAACAAATACATATATCTAACCATAACAATTTCACATCCACATGCTTCTTCAGCAGCTAATTTTAATATATATTCTATTTATACTATTTATTGATTCTGTTTTGTATTACTATTATTTCTTATTTATTGTAAGATTGTAACTAAATTTCGGATGTTCTTTTATTTTTATCAATACTAATCTCATCTATAAGATATATTTTAATCATACCATGTCAACATTTGTCTTTAAATAACTATCAAGCAAATCCTTTTTTGTCAGTAATGATATTCTATTCTCAACTAAGGTCTTTATGTTTTAATGATTTAGTATTTATCTAAACTCACTTCTTGATCTTAATTATTTGTATTTATAATTACTTATCTAAATCCTATATAAATTGATGATCTTCTTATCCTAAACCTTCCTTATTTTTTAATTTAATGAATTAAACATTATCAATAATATCTGGTGTTTCATAGACAAAAAACATTGTGTAAATTAATAATATAATTTCTAAATTAATATTAAAAGAGTATATAAATTAAAAAAATCAAAATATAGAGTAATTCATTTTTGTTTGAGACTTTTCTTAAATTTCTAAATCATTTATTTCTTTTATAATTATTAGAAGAAAGCTTTAAAAATTTACATTTCTCTATGTTCATCAGCAATCTGTATTTTTTTCCTTTCAGCATGTTATTCTAAAGCACTTAATGTTTTCATCAAAAGTTTGCGTTAATAGAAAATTTGAGCTAATTAATCTAAATCATCATCTATTCTAGATATTTATTTTATAATTGTCTCTGATTTTCTATTTGGAATAGCAAAATCATTTGGTAAAGTTGGTCTAAAATGCTGGACTGATGGACGATTAACAATTATTGGTACTCTTTCTTATTTAACTGATTTTGTAAATAATTCAGTCTAGTATTAATGAACATCATCTTGTTCATTAAGAATTTATTTTTGAAGTTAAAGATTTCTTTAAAAGGCTTTATATTATGAATCCTCTGTATTAGGTTTTTGTTGAGTCTAAATATAATAAATATATATTTAATACTAAGTATTCAGCTATTGGAACATTTAAAAAGTTAAGGGTTTTCTCTCTTAATACACTTCTATGATTTAATAGATTGGCAGACGACATTAAATTAACAGATAAGATAATAAATTTTTATCTGTTATAAATTTATTTCTTAAATTAACATATAATAATATCAAAATGGTTATTGATTTGCATCCTCTTCTGGTTAATCCTATCTTGCATTTGGTTATGGAGGAATTTATGACTATTATATTTATGATTATTGTTATGACTATTGAACTTATGAATTTTAAACTTGTTTTCCAAACATCCTTCTACCTGTATTCTTTTTTTGAAATATAGTTGATGGTTATTAATCAATTGGTTATTATTATTATTATTATCTAATATCACTTTGATTGTTATTTTGAAAAGGTTTATTCTCTAAGTTTTCTTCATCATCTTACTTTGGTTGTTATTATTCCTCAGCCATTCCCATTCTATAAATTAAAGCTTATTTTTAAAGTAATCTAGATGAAAAGGGAGGTCTCCAATTTTAAGGCATTATTGTTTAGTAATTAAATAATAATCCAAAAAGAATTATAAACACGAATCCATAGATAAAATGATAAATACTTATTAGTATTAAATTTCTTTTATTTTCATCTAATAAATTAGTTGATGAACTGCTATAATATTGTTGCTTTCTCCATTAAGTCATTTTGTTCCATCCTTCTTAAATATCTTCTATAGTCATGCTATATGATTAAATAATCGAAACAACCCCTATTATTATAGCTGCTAAAGAATAAAGCAATATAGGCCATCTGATAAGAACTACTATTGTATGTTTCACATTTTCAAGAGCATAGTAAATCGTGTATAAAAACAATAAAGTAAAAAAGTAATATGCAATTATGCTTTATTAAAAAGGCACAGGAGCTTCTATCCCATTCATAGAACATACTTAAACTCCAGGTATCATACTTTTTTATTTTAAATTCAAATTTACCATAATGCTTATAAATATATTGTGCAAAACAAAAAACAAAAGCATAATAACCATAAAATACAGTTCTTTTATCGTATTAGATTTTAATCTAATACATTTCCACCAACTTAAGCATTTTGATCATTTAATGGTTCCATACTTCCGTGTCTTTATAATTATTATTACATTTTAATTTATTTCAATATTTTTTAAAATATAAAAATGTAAGATTGTTTTAGATAGTTAGCACCTTAAATTTTTATCTGATTGCAATTAGAGTAAATCTTATCAATCAATTAGTAAAATATTTTAAGAATTATATTTACTGAGAATTTTAATTATTATAAATATGAAAAAAAAGGATATTTAGTAAATCCTTTTTACAATTAATGAAAAAATATCTCATTAATTTAATACTAATAGATTAATCATAGAAACCATTTTGATTTTGTTAATTTTTCCAATTTAAATATCGAATTAAGCATATTATTACATTTAAAATTGTCCATTTTTAAAATGTAAGAGTTTGATAAATTATATGATACTCAATNAGGTTTATTCTCTAAGTTTTCTTCATCATCTTACTTTGGTTGTTATTATTCCTCAGCCATTCCCATTCTATAAATTAAAGCTTATTTTTAAAGTAATCTAGATGAAAAGGGAGGTCTCCAATTTTAAGGCATTATTGTTTAGTAATTAAATAATAATCCAAAAAGAATTATAAACACGAATCCATAGATAAAATGATAAATACTTATTAGTATTAAATTTCTTTTATTTTCATCTAATAAATTAGTTGATGAACTGCTATAATATTGTTGCTTTCTCCATTAAGTCATTTTGTTCCATCCTTCTTAAATATCTTCTATAGTCATGCTATATGATTAAATAATCGAAACAACCCCTATTATTATAGCTGCTAAAGAATAAAGCAATATAGGCCATCTGATAAGAACTACTATTGTATGTTTCACATTTTCAAGAGCATAGTAAATCGTGTATAAAAACAATAAAGTAAAAAAGTAATATGCAATTATGCTTTATTAAAAAGGCACAGGAGCTTCTATCCCATTCATAGAACATACTTAAACTCCAGGTATCATACTTTTTTATTTTAAATTCAAATTTACCATAATGCTTATAAATATATTGTGCAAAACAAAAAACAAAAGCATAATAACCATAAAATACAGTTCTTTTATCGTATTAGATTTTAATCTAATACATTTCCACCAACTTAAGCATTTTGATCATTTAATGGTTCCATACTTCCGTGTCTTTATAATTATTATTACATTTTAATTTATTTCAATATTTTTTAAAATATAAAAATGTAAGATTGTTTTAGATAGTTAGCACCTTAAATTTTTATCTGATTGCAATTAGAGTAAATCTTATCAATCAATTAGTAAAATATTTTAAGAATTATATTTACTGAGAATTTTAATTATTATAAATATGAAAAAAAAGGATATTTAGTAAATCCTTTTTACAATTAATGAAAAAATATCTCATTAATTTAATACTAATAGATTAATCATAGAAACCATTTTGATTTTGTTAATTTTTCCAATTTAAATATCGAATTAAGCATATTATTACATTTAAAATTGTCCATTTTTAAAATGTAAGAGTTTGATAAATTATATGATACTCAATACAATTAGTATGGATATATTGAACTATAAAAAATATATAACTTATATCCTTGTTCAATATAATTATAGGTAATTTGATTCTTAATTTCCCACTTTAGAGCTGTATAAAAATTTTTAATAAATTCTTTTACTTAAATAATCTTAATTGTGACCTAAATTTTATTTTACTAACGAAAGATTAATAACATATTAAAATTACTTGAAATGATTTCTTTAGTCATCAATATGAATAATTAAAATGATCATGAATGCTTGTCAATATGCTATACTTAAATACATCTGATAAAATAGAGCAATTAAAATTTTGAGAAAAAATACAATATTCTATTCATTAAATCAAAATTTGAACTTACTATTTGTCTTTCAGCATAATTAATTAATTTAATAGAATTAAAAAAAAATTTCAATAAATTATAAAGCATGCATCTTCTATTAAATTTAAAATACTAATAGAAATATCATGTTATAAACAATAATTTACTATTAAATTCTGAAACATGATTAATTAAAAATTTGCATATTTAAATGATATCTAATTTTTCTTTTGTTTAATTTATTAATGCAAAATTCTGATGCAGACTAAGTATTAATAAAAAATCTATTAATAGGAATGTCTGGGTCTGTTTGATCCAAATACTTACTAAGAGGGTTAAGGTCCTAGACTTGGAAATTGTTATATTCCACCAACATATGAAGAATTAATGGCAGCATCTACTGAAAATGGATTAAATCTATTACCTAACAATAAGGAGAAGTTTTTTGAGTTTATTCTAAAAGAACAAGTATAAAAATATTTTAATTTTAGTAAGTGAGATTGAATCCCAAAGTGTAATAATTATACAAAGATATGAATCATTCAAGTGCTGTTGAGCATGCTATTCATTCTGAATTATTTAAGAATTTTGGATATGATGATTCCTCTCTTAATCATTAACTCTATTTTGCCTTAACAAGAAAATATTCAAATGATCCTGAGCTTAAACCTAAAGTATTTTTCTGGAGAAATAATGTAATGCATGGGAGCAGAGTTAAACTATAAGAAATTGCTCCACCAATACCATTATTGACACTTGAAAATAAAGAACTCTAATTACAACAATTATTAGAATCTGCTCATGAAGAGCAAAAAATTTGTGTTATATTTGGAGGAAGTTACACATGACCTCCATATAGAGATTCTATGCCAGATTACATTGAATTTGCCTAAAAGTATAAAGATATTTGCAAATGTCACTTTATATATATAAAAGAGGCACATTTTTATGAAACAGATGAAAATGGCAAATTCGTTGATGGATGGCCAAGAGGATATTTTGGGTTTGAATATCCTTAACACAAAAACCAAGAATAGAGACTTTAAATGGCATAATTACTAAAAAATAAGTATAACATTCCAGATGAATTTCCTATCTATTAAGATATTTATCCATAAAACTTATTTGATGAATCCTTTGGTATTTGGCCAGATAATCTTTGTGTTTTTAAAAATAGTAGATTAATTTATAGGGGCATTATAAATTTGGATGGAACAAGAAATGGAAGTCATACTAAAGAATTAGAAGGATATCTTGATAACTTTAAATATTGATTATTAGCTAGAGAGAATAGTATTTAAGAATGAATTTCTACATCTGAAATCAAGTTTAACAGATATGGAAATGAAGTTAAAATTGAATACATTTTCTTTTTGCTATTTAATATATAAATAATACTCATATAAAAAAATATTTATTTAATCAGTACCCTTCGACTAATGTTTTAAACATCGTTTTTATATAAAATTTGAATTAAGTTGAACGATTAACTATTATTAAGGTACTACTTAATCAATTTTATAAGTTTGTGTTTAAAATAGAAATTGAAATTAAAAAGACAGTAATGTAATTAAACTCAAATAATAATGAGTATCAATAAATTGAATAAGGAAAGTATATATTATATTAAATGATTAAAAATAGAAAGTTGAAATATATTATGTAATTTAATAATTTTTTTGATTTTTGAATCATATTTGAATCATATTTCTAGTTTTTGAATATAGCTCTTAATTCCATCATTGAATCTGCTAGTGAAAATTTCGATGCATTCATTAATAATACCAAGTTCAGAGTTTCTAAAGATATGGAGGAATGAAGTACTTTTATTATCTAACATTTTGGTGAGCTTTCAATTCATCAGCACAAGTCTTCTACCAATCAGCCATTTCTTAATTTTTAACATCTAACAATTATGCTTTGGATTCGATATCATTTTTTAATTCTAGTAAATTTTATCTTAATTTTTCTGCATCAGCAGCCAAATCAGCCAAACTAGTTTCAAGTGTCTTACTTTCTAATTCATATCTTGCTTTTTATAAGAGATAAAGTTCTTATTTAGCTTTTTCTCCTTGATGTCCAACTTTTTATAAATGTTCTAAGGACTTGAATAATATTGATAAGAAATGATTACTTCAATTAATTCATCAATAATTTAAATGACTTTAGAAACATTTTCATCTCCAGAAGCAGCTACTAACATTTTAACAAGTCCATTATAGGGTGTTTGTTTATTATGTAATGATTCTAAGTGTTTATGTAATTTAGCTTTAACATCAGCAACTTAAATGAAAGAACTATTTAATTAAGAGACAATAGATTTGGCTTTCTTCAATCCTTAGATAAATTCTACAGATTCTGTTTATTTAGATTCGAATGCTTTCTAAAAGTATAAATAAATATAAACTTTTTCTTCTTCTCTTGATTTTTCTAAGGCAGATAACCTATCTTAGATTCTTTAATCTTATCCTACTTTATCTTTAAGTTATGAATTCTTAGCAATTAATTCTTCTTATCTAAGTGGGAATGATTATTCATCTGTAGCTTTTTTAGCTGAAGCAGAATCAATAACTTCTTAGATTTCATCAAATCGAAGATTGCAGAGTTCTTATTAATGTCTTAAATTCTATGTATTTTCTTCTAAGTCACTTTATGCATTAGTTTACATGGATCTCAATTAATGAACAATTCCATCGATATTTGAGCTATGTAATTATTATTACATCGAATTTACTCTTCATTTGAAAGGGAGATTTGCATAGTTGCTATGATTGTTTTTCCAAATTCATATTGGGATAATTCAGAAAGTAATTCATAGTCATTTGCTGTGACTAACAAAGCAAGACATACTAAGACTATAAACTTCATATTTTTAATAATATTAAAAAACGATAATTTGTGATAAGATAAAAAATAAAATAGAAAAAATATTTGTGCTTTGAAGAAACCTAAATAATTCATTCCTATCAAACTTAGATGTTTGAGAAATCGGCACTTTAGACAACAGATAAAGCTTATTCGCTGATTCCAAGTTCTCTGGTGAATTCATTCTTTAAGTTGGTGTAGGTATCGGTTTCTTCAGCATATGTGTTATTTTCTAATTCAAGTTCGGCAGTGTATTATTTTCTATCTGCATCTCTTTAATCTCTGAATTCAGTCATTTAATCAATCTTTTCTATAAAATAATAAAAATATAATGAATACCATTGGTGGCTGTTAAATCAACATTGACTCTATTGATTTATCTTTAGAATTCAGCATATTCATCATCTAATTATTCAAGGTATGCTTCATGATCTTCTTAGGCTTAAGCTTCAGCAGCTGTTTAAGCATTGATTGAATCAACAACAGCATTTCTGAATTCATTAAGAGCATCAACAATTTAACCAATGATTCCTTAATCTGAGAAATTTTAATTTGAAGCTAATGAAATAAGAGCCTTAATCATAGGTGCCATCTTGGATCTAGATTTAATCTTTGATTCAATATTCTTTAAAGAATTTTAGAATCTCTTGACTTACAATAATGATGGATTTGTAAGTGTTTCAAGAAGAGCAAGAGCATCATCAACTGCAGCAGTTGCATCATTTAATTCAGCAACTTAGAATTCAAAATCTTCATGTTCTTATTCTCTTACTAGAACTGCTTCATCATAATTTTATCTATTGGCTTCTTAGTTATCTTAGATTTATTCAATTCTAACTTAAAGTTATGATCTTCTTGGGAATAATAAATTATCTAATGTGTCTTAAGTATTGTTAACATCTAAACAAATTAATAGATATAATTACCAATTACAGCATCTTAGATGTCTTATTCAAGGCTAACAACTAATGCATTGTGTTCATTTGTTCTTACTTAGAAATTGAATTCTAATTCTTCTAATTCATCTTCAAGATCGTTGATAAGCTCTTCAATAGCATCAATCAACTCTTAAACTGGTCCTCCAGCCATTGAGTGGAGTTCCACTAAGTGAAGTAATGCACTTCCATATGTGCTCTTCTTAAGGTCTGTTGTCACTTTTGCAAGATTTCTCTCTTATACTCTAGCTGTGAAAGCTATTGCAATCAAGGCTATCAGCAATATTGATTTCATAAGAAAATTATTGTCAATTATCAATACAAAAAACACATAGTTAAACAACAAAAACGACTAGTCTTCATTTATATTATAAAACTAATTAAAAACGCTATTCTGTTCTTCATTATTATATAAATATTTTATTCATTTACTAAATAATCTCTACTAATTAATCCTACTAATATACACTACAAATTATCTCTAATATGTTAATTCTTTATATTTTTCATTCTATTCATTTTCAAATTTATTTCATTCATTTTATTCAAAATCTAAAATTAGTATAAAATTAAACTTAAAATCATTATATCTTTCATAATTTTTATTGGTTTAAAACTATTTACGCTAAATATCTATTCGATGTTGGTAATATACTTTAAAATCTCATTTCTTACCTTTTATCCATTTAATAAATTTCTAAATTTTATTATTCTTTCTATCTAATCATATCTTTTTTTAGAAAATCAATCAAATAAATGAATCTTATTTTTTCTATTATTTACTATTTATTCCTGATAAATTGATTGATGATTATTAAACATTAAAAAATTATAGAATTGATGATTTTAATATTGTTATTAAATGAGTAAAAGTTTTGAAAATCTAATCAATGTGTAGCCCAAAAAAATAGTTACTCTTGATGAAATTACATAATAAGAAATGCTAGGTAAAGGATAGTTTGGAGTTGTTTATAGGATTCAATATTAAGGTGAGACTTATGCAATGAAATAAATTGTGAAGTAAACATTAATTAGACATGGCAAAATAAATTCAGCAAATTTAGAATTAAAGATTATGTATCAATTGGATCATGCAAACATTATGAAACTTATCACTCATTTTGAAGATGAGAATAATGTCTATTTAATTTTAGAATACATTGATGGATCTAATTTATATGATATTTTAAAAAGGGATACTCGTCTTTAGGAAACTTATGCCATACATTATTATAGATAAATAGTTTCTACACTTATTTATTTGCATTCTAGGCCAACACCAATTTTACATAGAGATATTAAACCTGAAAACATTTTAATAACATAAAATAATGCAATAAAATTAGCAGATTTTGGTTCTGCTAATTCATTAGCCAAAGATGAATTGAGATTTACATTTGAAGGAACATATCTATTTATGGCACCTGAAATATATATGAATAAAGGTTATACTCAATGTGTAGATATTTGGAGTCTAGGTGTTTTATTATTTGAAATTTTGGCTGGACATTCTCCTTTTTTAAATAAAGAAGAAGAAACTTCCTTAATGACTCATGAAAAATAGAGTGTTATTAGAGAGAATGTTTTAAATGTTCGAATACGATTTCCAGATACTTTTCCACCATTAGCTAGAGATTTGGTTAGAAAAATTCTTAGATTAGAACCATAAGATAGATTAAGACTAGAAGAAGTACTTAAACATCCATGGCTTTAAAATGCTGAAGTTCTTGAATAATTACCAATTGTTAGTAAATATTAATTAGAGGATAAAATCTCTAAATAAATAAATAATTTTTAAGAATATAGAAAAAATATTGATCATCATTTATTAAGAATAAGTGAACTTAAAAAATAAATTAATGATACATAAATTTAAATTATGTAAGGAGAATTAGAAAAATAATAATTAAGTTAAAAATTAAAAGAATTATAAGAAGTTAATGATGACTAAACACAATCTCCTAATCTAGTAAGTCCCTAGAAGATTGTTAAAATTGAAGAAAAATATAATAGTTTGAAGAAAGAAATAAATTAATTATAAAAAGATATCATCTAGAATGAAATATTTATTCATAAAAATGAGATGCAATAATCGAAACTTTAACATTATAAAACTAAAATAGATAAATAAAAAGAGATTATTGAAAAATTAGAAAGGGAATTAATTTAATTAGATTAAAAAAAGAAATAAGAGTAAATAAATTAAGATAAAGAATTACAAGAATTCACTAAATTAAATAATAATCGAAATATTGAATAATCAACCCAAAATAATTCTTAGTATACATCCTTATTAAGAGAAACTATTGAAAGATTTAAGGAATTTATGAATTTTTATCGTAATATCAAGTAAGAGTCTGAAACAGATTTTGAAGCATAAGAAGATTAATAATGGAAGAAAGAATATTATGCAATAAAAAAATCTTTATAAGAAGAGTTTTAATAGGAATAAAATTTATTAAAGAAATTAGAAAATGAAAATCAATAACTTAAAATTAAACTAGGATAAATTGAAGCATAAGAACAATAGGTTTAAAAGGCAGAACAAATTGTTTATAATTTAAAATATGGATGTGATTTAAAATAAGATAGAATTGAAGAATTAAAAAAATAAAAAGCAGAGTATGTGACTAAGATAGAAGATTGCAATAGATTTATTTAATATAATAAAAGTTCATTATGATATTCAATCTGATTTTGGCATAACTTATTTTTGAAGAATTATTCTCTGTTTAAATTCTTAAAGATCTTTCAATTCTTAGTATTATTTTTTTATTTTATTTTATCCATATGGATCAAAGAAGACAAAACTTATTGTAACAAAACACACTGTCAAAAATCCTACTAAAAGAACAGCTCCTAAAGGTGTTTTAAGTAAAATAAACAATAATTAAAATGAAAATTCTGGCCATTCCATTTTTTTTTATGGTTATTTAATTTCCTCAAATTCTATCTCATGTCCAAATCCTTCTCTTACTTTAAGAATGCTTTATTTTTCTTTAATTTCTTTTTCAATATTTTTAATTCTTTCTTGATTTTATTATTTCATTTCTTCGTTTGTTCTTGGAGTATTTCGTTTGATCCATCTTTCTTAGAAATTTTCCTTATCTTCAAAATCTGTATCTTTTAAAGTTCCTTTAAATAAAAATAGAGCAGCAATAGTTGCTTAATCTTGACTAGAGCTAAACCCAATAATTAATTCATTTTTATTGTTTAAAGCTCCAATACAAGGTTATCCTTAATAATAAACTTCTGCTTCATCTATAACAATTTCAATATATTCTGTATGTGCAGTAAATGCTCCAACTAATTTAAAAATATCTATATTTTCTAAAATCATATTCTTCCCTAAAAACACACTAAAAACTCTCTAATTACTTTCTTCAAAATGTAACTATATATTTATAATAATTATACTTCAGCAAACTTCAAAACTAATACATACGTTTAGTTTCCAGGAATATTGTTACCTATAGGTATTGTATAGACAAAACTTTATCCTTATCTCTATGAAAGATAAAGGGATTGATCATCCGTAAATTTAATTTTTCTTTTTTAAGCTATGAAATAATAATCGATTAATTCTGATGTGCCAATATAATGGTGATCCTTTAATTTTTAAAACTTAAATTACCCTCTTATATGTAATACCCGATGATGTACGAGTTTATAAGTAACTTCCACAATCAATGGCATGAACTACTTTACGTGGAGCTATTAATTTACTTACTGATAACTAAAATAGCAACAAAAATATAATCATATAAACTTTTATAATTAATTTATTTATCCAATTTTCAGCATTTCTCTATTTGGCATCTTCAAGGCTTCATTTGCAAAATCTTTGAAAATAACTTCTACAAAATTAGATTTATAAATAGCATTGAACTTCTTTATCAATTGCTCTGCAGTTTTTTTACTTAATTCACTGAAATAATCTTTAGATGTCATCATTAATTAGATTATCAGGAAATCATCATTATTATTTAAAGCTAATTAAAATGCTGCATCTATTTAACAATCTTCAACTAAATCGAGAACCTTTTCATAATAATCTTCTGTAAAATCTTGTGTTTCCTCCATTTTTTCATCAACAAATAATTAAGTATCTTATAATTAAGGATTAATATTCTCTGTTATTTCTTCATTATCTTCTTAATCAGATTATATTCCTTCATTTTCAATTTGTTATTCTGATTATTTTTATTCTTATTGTATAAATTAATCGATCAATGAATCTTGTATTTTTTACTCTGTTACTTTCTCTTATATTTTTCCTAATTGTTACTTCACTTAACTTATTTGCAATTTCTTATATTTTTCAGCATTTAAAACTAAATGTCCATCTCCTCTTTTTTTTTTAATAAATGGTTTCACATCAGGAAAATAACTAGATGTTGTTACTTAAGGAGGATTTCTAGCAATGTATAGATTTTAATATAACTATAAAGCTTATTTAGCAGCTTATTAAACTGATACAACTCTATCAAATGTTGTTTCTCTTAAAATAGTAACAGATTATAACTATGATAATGAATGATAATATTACTAACAAATTGTCATCATAAGTTTAGTAATCAGCTAATGCTAATATAAATTTACATAGTGTTTATTTTACTTAATATGTATGTTTCTATTCTTAAAGAGCTGCTAAACTTCTTTAAAGTATTTAAACAAGATTTTGATCTTAACTTGTTGTTATTTTAATCATGATTTCTACCATAGATTAATGTACAATAAGTTAATTTTTGATGTATGCTGATTATATTTATTTTTTTATATTAATTGGTACCTCAAATTACAATAGATAATATAATGATATTGTGGAACCAATCTAATTATTTAAATTATTATTATTATTACTTAAATAGGTTATGATGTTAATTTCAAAGCAAGATTACACAGTAATTCACATAAAGAAATAATAGTTGTTGAATTTGCTAATAATCTATAACATTCTCCACAGAGTTAATGTATTAAATCATTTCCTTCATTAAAAGCTTTATTAATAATTGTTGCAGCTCTAAGTGATGAATTTAAATCATATTTTTAAACTTAGATTGATATTTTTAATGCTCTTAGATTAACTTCATTAATTTTTTATGTTTCTAAGACTTATAAAACAATTTTTAAATGTTGATCACTTTTATTAGCAACAAGGAGTCTATTGAATTCTATTAAGCATTATTATTTTTTTGGAAGATTTAATGCTTCTGCCAAAAGAAATTAAATTCTTTCTTTGAATTCATTTAAATTATTCATTTATGTTAATTCTAAACAACTAATAAATAAAAATAAAAGCAAGTAATAAATTGATTAAGATTTTAAAATTCATTATGCTCACATAAAATGGTTATAAACTTGAAAGTTTCTTGAATCATACTAGAAAATTTTAAATTATATATAAAACTAATTGAAAAATTTGATTAAATATTTTTTTAAGTATTTAATTGGATATGTCAACACCAAGTGTGAAACCCAAACTTGTATAAACTTTTGGAAGAAAGAAGAATGCTGTTGCTAGTGCTAGTGTAAGAGAAGGAAAAGGTATTATTAAACAATAAATGTAAAGGAATTGTAAAAGTTAATGGTGCTCCAATTGAATTAGTCAACCCAGCTCCATTAAGATAAAAAGCTCTTGAACCATTATTATTATTAGGATAAGTTAGAACAGGCAGACTTGATATCAGAGTCACAGTAAGAGGTGGTGGTACAACTGCTTAGATCTATGCCATTAGATAGGTAGCATAATTTATATATAATAAAAAAGGCAATCAGTAAGGGTATTGTAGCATATTATTAAAAATACATTGATGAAACATAAAAGAGAGAAATTAAGGATCTTCTTTTACAATATGACAGAACACTTTTAGTTGCTGATCCAAGAAGATGTGAACCACGTAAATTTGGTGGTAAAGGTGCTCGTGCCAGAAGATAAAAGAGTTATAGATGACTTAAAATAAAATAAATTTATATAAATGTACATTAAACAACCACTTCCTTATTAAATCAACTTGATCATCCATTCATTACTTTTACTTTCAAATTTTTCTATTATCATCTTTCATTTTTCTTTCTAATTTTTAATAAGATAAATCATTATCAAATATCTATTCATTTTATTATTATTATTCTTAATATTTACTATTTCGATCTCTACTATTTTATGAACACACTTACAGAATTTTGAATAATTTTATAATAAATATATAATAACTAAAATGTGAATTTTATTGCAAATTTTCTAAATTTTTACCTTATTACTTCTAGGAATATGATAGCTTATTTGATTTCTTCATACCTTTTTGAATTATAATTTATTTAAATCATATTTTCAATTATTCCATAATTGAATTAACCCATTTTGTTCAAGATTTACTCAATCAATATAAAGGAATCAAATATGCTACTTCAATTAATCATATTCTTAATTCTAAATAATCTTGCAAAAAAAAACGATAAATAATTTCGTTAACATGCTTTCTCTAATTATGGATTATTAACAATATATTAACCTAAGGGATACCTACTTGTAGATAAGAATGATTATCTCGATTCATATTAAATAAAGATTCACAAAAAAAACATTTATATTAACTATAATAAATATATTGTCAAATTTTAGAGACAAAATTTCATAATCAAATTATTTGATTTATATAAATTTAAAGCTTTACTTTTTAAATAATTGTTATTAATTTAAAGTAAATTAGGAATTAGATAAATTCATAATTTTAGGTACATATTTTTCTAGTAAGAGCAGGAATGTGATTTTTTAGTGAATCATAGATGTATTTAAAAAAATAAAATCATAAACTAATATGAAATGTTAGAAATATGATCTAGTTAGTTTTCCAAAATTCTACTGTAAATATAATGATGTTTTGATATAACATTTGGATAACTAAACTATGGCAATAAAATTGGAATTCTAGGTTTTTTGATAAAAAAGATAGATAAAGGAGAAGTTAATGGTAATAAAATAAATAAAAATAAAATAGATTATATGAATAATATAATTGTTGATAAATGATCACAAAGTTACTTCTGGGATTTCCCCAATAATGACTGTTTTATCATTACTAGCTGAGGCTATCAATTTATCTTTTGGACTAAAAGCAGTTTCATTAACCTATTTGATGTAAGATGAATAATTACCGTTCCTTAATGACCTCCTAATTTATGAATAACTTTTTTTGAGTTGAAATCCCAAATATAAACATTCTTATCAGCAGACCCAGCTGAAATGTATTAATCATCATGACTCCATGTACATCTTAGTAGATTTTTTTCAGCCGTGTTTGCTGTTGCACCAGTAAATACTCTTACCTATCTATTTTTTCCTTGAACATAAGGTCTAGAAATACAAAAATATTTTACCTAATATCAAAAGTTCTAACTGTCATATCCATAGAATTACTCAATAAATAAGAATTATCATTGCTAATTGCTAATCCTGTAACAGTATCTGTATGATTATCTAATGTATATTCAATCTCTTATTTTCGAACATCATAACATCTAATTATA